GGGATTGTAACCATGGCAATGAAACAATGTACAATACAATGAATGTAAAACTAATGTTCTCCCATGTAAACTATCATATAATTCACAATAAAACATTTTTTAAAAAAGGCAAAAAAAATAAAAAAGAGATGGGGATAAGATTCTTATGATTCAATAGTGAGTAATTGTTATCATGACTAATTGCAACTGTTACAGCTGTAAAGGTCGAAGTTTTGTAACAAAAATGGGGGAGTAGTTAATCTTACAGTCCAGAAACAGAGTACCCTAGGACCATCAAGGGAGAAGAGCATGAGCAGAATGTGGGACCCTATCCAGAACAGCAACACCAGAGATGGAGGCAGAGATGATGGTATGGAGAGAGAGAGAGAGCAGCTGAGGACTCTAGACTCATGGAAAGAGAAAGACTGAGTACTGGCAGCCAGGAAGCAGGTTTGCAGAATGCACCCTTTGGTTGTTTAAATGATGATATGTTCCTGAGTGTTTTTGTGTACATTCCCTCTCCCCACAGAAAAATACACCAGAGGGAATAGAAGCAAATACTGTTGAATGATGATACGCAGAGGAGATTGTAATCATTGCAATGAAACGATGAGTGTAAAACTGATGCTCTCCCATGTAAACTATCACTCATATCACAATAAAAACTTAAAAAAAAAAAATTCTATCATGGTCTTCAGCATAATTTCTGTCACCAAGTTCTTATTTTCCAACTACTGATCCTTTCTTTGTTTCCATCCTTTACAATCCAGGAATTATCAGTATAGCTTGATTACATGTTTCAGACTGAAGATCGATTTCAGACTGAAGAATTTGGTTGTTGTTGTTAAGTGCCCCTCAAGTTGGTTCTGATACATGGCAAACCTGTGTAAGGTTTCCATGAGTGACTGGTGAATTTGAACCACCAACCTTGTGGTTGAAACCAACCTTGTTGTCCAGTTCATTATCCCATATCATCACTAGTGTAGTGGTTGTGTGTGTAGTGATTGTTGTGTAAATTTGAATCGTAGTTGTATTAACTAGGGTTTTTTGTAGGCATATGGATATTAGCCTGTCACAGACAGCATTATACTACAAGACAGATCTTGAAATGTTCTGTTTTGTGATGAATGAGATGCCATTCCTCTTCAATTGTCATTCCTGGTAAAGTAAACCATGTAATCACATTTCAGCTAAAACCATTTCAGTTCACTAATACCTAAGATATCAATGTTTATATGTTCCATTTCATTTTTGATAACATCAACTTTTCCTAGATTCATACTTCCCACATTCCATGTTCAAATTATTACTGGATGTTTAAAACTGTTTCTCCTCATTTTAAGTTGTACCCCATCAGCAAATGAAGGTTCTGAAAGCTTTACTCCATTTGTGTTGTTCAATTCTACTTTAAGAAGGCAGCTTTTCCCCAGTTGTATTTTGAGTACTTTCCAACCTGAGGGATTCTTCTGCCACTATATCTGACAATATTCTGGTACTCTTCATTATGTTTCAATATTCAATAATCTGGTGTTATCTGACTGTGTTCCACTACTATTCATAAGGTTTTCATTGACTAAATATTTGGAAGTAGCCCATATCTCCTTCTCCCTAGTCTGTCTTATTCTGGAAGTGTAGCTGAAACCTATCCACTATAAGTGACACTGCCAGTATTTAAAATACTGGTTACTTAGCTTCCAGAATCACAGCTGTGATAATACCATGAGGTATTACACTGAGCATAGGAGTGATAACACCATGAGTTTTGCATCAACCCGGGTGACACCACTGTCTTACAATCCTGTTTTAAATATCTATGGTATCGCATGGATGGCAAGGATCTGCCCATTCACAAAGGATTTTAAAAGCAACTGAGACTTGAAGAACTGAGTTTGGCTTTGGGGAATGTAGAGGAACATTAACCAGAACCTATACTGTGGTGCTATTCATAAGGTTTTCAGTGATTAAATATTCGGAAGTAGTTCATCACTCCTTCTTCTTAGTCTGTCTATGTCTGGAAGCCCATCTGAAACCTGTCCACCATTGGTGACCCTGCTGGTATTTTAATACCAGTGGCATAGCTTTCAGAACCACAGCAACTCACAAGCCACCATAGTAGGATAAACTGACAAACGAGATGATACAACCTTGCTTGCTGAAAGTGAAGAAGACTTAAAACATTTACTGATGAAGATCAAAGAGCACAGCCTTTGGTATAGATTACATCTCAATGTAAAGAAAACAAAAATCCTCACAACAGTACCAATAAAACAACATTCTTATCAATGGAGAAAAGATTGAAGTTCTCAAGGACTTCATTCTTCTTGGATCAACTAGCAACACTCATGAAAGCAGCAGTCAAGAAATCAAAGACGTATTGCACTAGGCAAATCTGCTGCAGAAGACCTTTTTAAAGTGTTGAAGAGCAAAGATGTCAGCTTGAGGACTCATGGTATTTTCAATAACCTCATATGCATGTGAAAGCTGTTTAGTGAATAAGGAAGTCCGTAGAAGAATTGATGCTTTTGAGTTATGGTGTTGGAGGAAAATGTTAAAATTGCCATGGGCTTCCAAAAGAAACAACAGATCTGTGTTGGAAGAAGTGCAGTCAGAGTGCTCCTTGGAGGCCAGGATGGCCTAGCTTCATCTCTCATACTTCAGGCATATTGTCAGGAGGGACCAGATGCTAGAGAAGGATATCACGTTTGGTAAGGTGGAGGATCTGAGAAAAAGAGGAAGACCCCCAACGAGATGGATTGTCCAAGTGGCAGCATCAGTGGGCTCAAGCGTGGAAACAATAATGAGGTTGGCCCAGGATCGGGCAGTGTTTCTTTCTGCTGTGCATAAGGTCGCTATGAGTCGGTACCGACTCGATAGCACCTAATAACAACAACATACTGTGGTGCAACTCAGAAATAGCAGTGGCATTGAATTGGAACCTTGCTTATTAGCTGATGTTTTAATTCTGTTGTCATGTCTGTGAACTCTGGACATCAGTTTGCACACTGCAGGTAAGCAGCATTGGGTGCTATGCCTTTTTATGGCTGCAGAGCCCACGTGAAGGCCATGCTCATTGGGATCTGAGATTTTCTGAAGACGATGCTGTGATGAACACCACAAATCAAGGTCTCTCTTGCCTGAGACTGACTAGAATTATTCTACACAGATAGGAGATGGAGTAGAAATTATTCAGATTGAAAACTAAATGGTGTTTCAAACCTCATGTCACTGTCTGAAAATAAACACACTTCTCTCAGTTTCAATGTTTTTGCCTTGATCTTGACTTTTAAATTACACCTTTAAGAAAGATGTATTACTATTTTGCTCTTCCTGAGTTAAATATGTCTTGTTTCTCTTTCACTTTGAGATTTCTAAATGTCTTCATGATCTTTCCAAATAAGAACATACTCACGTGACTTTTGTGTTGAAAGCATTGCCTTTGGTGAGCTTCCCTTCCTCTCCTGCCCTGCCATCTCTCTTAGAAGATGCTAGCAACTAAGTACAGTTACTCTGTTCAGCTTTGTGGCCAGTTTCCTGGCTTTATCTTTTAACTCTTCCTTTGAAATATTAATTTCTGCTATTCTATTTTTAATTTATTAGAGGTTGGTCCTATTCTCTGAATAATCTTTTGCAGTAGTGTTTTGTTCTTTTCTTGGGGGTACAAATGTTTGGCACATCTTGTTGTTAAGTGCCGTCAAGTTAGTTCTGACCCAAAGTGACCCTTTATAGGGTTTCTGAGGAGCAGATGGTAAGCTTGAACCACAGGCCTTGCAGCTCAAACTGACTTTGCAGTCCAGTGCATTAACCCACAGTGCCACACCAGAACTCCTGGCACATCTTAGCTGAGATTAAAGTGCAGATTTGAAGTCCTGTTTGCAGAGGAGCTTGCTGACAGTGCACATAGGGCCTCTAGCCAGGATATCCCAAATGTCAGGATCTTATTTGGCACCCAGGGTTATATAAACAGGTTGTCTGGGAGGTGTTTGGGGCAAAGGACTGTGATGGTTCCCACTCTTAAGCATACAGACTTTTGTTTACCTATTTTCGGAGCAGTACTGCACTTCTGAACTGTGCCTATAGTGTCCCATACCCAGCCCAGCCTCCTCTGGTTCTGGTTTCTGGGAGAGTCACACTCCTGTCTCCATTGATTATGTGGCCTAGAACTCCAAGGGTATGTTTTTCATGTGTTCATTTTCAGCCTTGATTTCTAGGTTTCCCTATTCGCTGTGAGTCTGTAAGATAAATCTGCTTGCTTCCCAGTGCCATTCTTCACCGCCTGTACTGAGGTGTCAGCTTTTTCTTTGTCACCTCCTGTCCAACTTCTTTTCATTGTCTGGATTTGTTAATATTGCTAGTCTGCTGTTGTCTTTTCTCCTATCTCATGGACATTGTTAATTTGTGCCTTTAGTCATGAAAACGTACTATGAGTATTTTGGAAGGGGTGTACATAAATGCATGTGCACAATTTCTAAAGTGTGCATGGACCTCTGATTCTCTTCAGCTTGGAAGAATTAATGTACACCATTAAGCAAAATTGGAGGTTATTATGCCTTAGTTCTTAAGAGAAAATGTTAGAAATGTACAGTTTAGGATTCAGAGTTTTATAGGGAGCTACTTAGAAAAATAAATTATATATTTTTTGAGTGCTGAAAGTTTTAAACAAATTTACTCTCTCAAAATAATGTAGTGAGTTTCCATAGTTTTCTGTTGCCGTTCTTGTTAGGTGCCATCTAGTCGATGCCAACTCATAGTGATCCTATATACAACAGAATGAAACACTGCCCAGTTCTGTACCACCCTCACAATTATTGTTATATTTGAACCCATTGTTGTTGCCACTATGTCAATCTATCTCATTGGGGATCTTCCTCTTTTTCAATGATCCTCCACTTTACCAATCATGATGTCCTTCAAATATTACTGTCCTTGTTTCTAAGGAATATTCTGCCTGTACTTGTTCCAAGACAGATTTGTTTGTTCTTCTGGCAGGTGCTTTCACCAACGCTGTAATTTTTCACCAACATCGTAATTCAAATGCATCAATTCCTTTCCTGTCTCCCTTATTCATTGCTCAACTTTCCCATGCATACCTTAGACCACAAACTGACATCTTTGCCATTTAGACCCTTCCAAATTTTTGGAGATACATTTATTGTGAGTATGCTATTTCTAGGTTAATTATGGGGCATGATCCTAAAATTTGTTTTGCCTAACATCTTTTCTTTCTAAGAAAGATATACAATTTTATCATATAAGATATTGGTAAATATTTCCTCTCCCTTGAATCCATCAACCAGAAACCCCTCTCATCCTGTTATGTGTTTATATTGGGTCAAAAGTTAGCAACATTAATGCTCATGATTTTGTCATCATTCCCTTCTAGGACACTGGGGTTGGAAAATCAAGCATTGTGTGCCGGTTTGTCCAGGATCACTTTGACCACAATATCAGCCCAACTATTGGGTAAGTTATGCATGTTATTCTCCTTCACACTTTTTCTTTTCACAGAATTCAAGAAGTCTCCTTGTCTGTGTCTGAACCATTAAGCAGGGAGAGTTTTCATCCCAGTTAATGAAAATTCATCCCAACTGTAAGACTGGAAGATTCAAGGACTTAAAGCAAAGTTCTGAGCTTACCATTGTTTTCAATTATTGTTTTCCTTGGGCAGCCTTCCTCATGCTACAAGTCAGGGCCATGTTCTTTATATGCAAGTGTTGCAGACTGTGTAAAGCTGGTCAGAAGTTCGAGGCCCACTGGGCCCGAGTGTTGCAGACAATGCAGGACACAGGCTCTGAGGAAAAGATTCTGGCCACTGGCAGTCATGGCAAATTGTTTTTTCATCTTAGTGTTCAGTTATGTTTTTTATTTAATTCCAAACATGAACCCTTAATATCCACAGATAAATGTAATATTTTCCTAAAGCCGAGACTGTAAAGGCTTCAAGGTTAAGCCTTTCTCCAAAGGATTAACTGAAAATAGCATAGCTACTTCCCGGTTCTTTGTTCTATAGACAAAAAAGCCATCTTCTCTGAATCTGTCCCAGATGCGAGTTATTCAGCCAAGTTCCTGAAAACCTGGCTCAGGAAGCCAAAACAGCGGGACTCCTCACAAGCCTTTTGTCCTTCCCTTTCACCTTCTCCCAACTGAGCTCAGGGGCTATAGATATGTTAATTGAGCCTGAGAAACCAAGTTG